GTAGAAACAAACCTCACAACTAAAGAAAAACATGCAGGAATAGTATGTTTTAACATGACACAGAGCCGTGTGTGGTTTGAAAATCTTAAACACTTGTCAGTAGATGATTCGCTTTTCCATTTTATAAATATTTATTGTTTTTATATTTTTAGTTAAAATTCTTTTTTTTCTATCAGACCCATTTTCATATTTTTATTTCTATTTTAAATAATATTTTATTTATTAGGATCGAAGACTATTCACGATTAGCAATATCATATACATATATGTGCGTAACGGTAATAATATATACGTACACGGTAATAATGTGTACGTACACGGTAGTAATGTGTGTGTATATATGTACGTAAATATCTAAATAATTTGTATATTTACGTTTCAAATATTTTTTGACTATAAAAACAAAACATTCAAATCATGTATGAACAACATATGAAAAAAATACAGTCATACAAATAACTGACATAATAACTTAATTTTGATGTCAAAAAATTAAATTAATGTTGTACCATGTACGCTCCAATAAATATTTTTGTGTACGTACATAGTATAAGACTTATGTGATTTAGGCATTTTTAGGATGTAACTAAAGATTTCTAATGTACAAACTCAATAAATAATTGTGTATATGCAGCTTTTACAATAAAACATAATCTAACATATTTATATGTCCACATGTACGTACACTGTAAATTATAAATACGTACACATAAAAAATTTAATGAAGGGTATAATTGTAATTTTGCAATCGTCTTCAACCTCTGTAACCCTAATTTTGCAGTCACTTGTTAACAGTTATCTCAGAAATCTTAACTTTTTTAGATTTACGTTTTGAATGCTTAATACATCTAAATATTATACATCTAGCATATTTCGAACTGATTTCTACTTCTCTCTCGAATCTCTCCGTCTCTCTCTCGTTCTTCTTCTTCGTTTTCTTCAACAATTTTTTTTTTTTTTTCAAAACCAAACCGCAAAACCAATCAAAAGTAACTAAACCGCAAAGAAACTGTGCCGTTTGGTTCACTCGTTAGGGGTATTGTCGTCCTAAAAAGCCTTAACTGTCAAAACGTGAGAACCAAATCTCACTTTGCCAAACTGTGAGAGTAAATGTTTTTTTTAACATAAACGTGAAAATTTCTTTTCTTTTTATTCACTTGTTCAACTTCCTCACATGAGGGGGGGTGAGGAGGTATTTATAGCCTCCAAGGTTAGCTTACAAAGTCTCTAGATTATTCTACCATCATCTCTATAACTCTACTAAAATATCAAGATTTTATCTTACAAACTTCTAGATTATTCTACATAATTTTCTAAATATCTATCTAATAGAATTCTCTAGAACATTTAAGGAGGTGATGATTTTTCTATGATGCTCTAGAGAAATCTAGAACTTAGGCTTAACTTTGGGTTTTATCCAATATAGAATATTGAATTATAAACCCATAATTAAGCTTAAACCAAAATCAAGTTTAACTTCAATATCGCAAACGCCGATGATTCATCAACAGCTCCGACCGTCTCCGCCGTGGCCGGAGAAAAACATCCAATTTCCGCCTCCGGCATGATCCACGAGTGTTCCATCTGTCATAAAGTGTTCCAGACGGGTCAAGCTCTCGGCGGTCACAAATCTACTCACCGAAACAAACCACCAACGAAAGTCGCAAAAGCCGATGATTCATCAACAGCTCTGACCGTCTCCGCCGTGGCCGGGGAAGAATATCCGATTTCCGCCTCCGACAAGACCCACGATCGAGTGTTCAATCTGTCGTAAAGTGTTCACGACGGGTCAAGCTCTCGGCGGTCACAAACGCTGTCATAGATAGTGTCAGTACGAAGGCGCTAATTGGTTACTATTTTAATGAAGAAGGTTGATGTTTTTTTTTGGTTTACTAATGAAGGTTTAATATCTTAATTACGAAGTCGACCCCCGCGGATAAGTAAACTGAAAAAAAAGAAATTAACATTGCTAATTCTTTTTTTATATTTTAAGTCATTGTTATGTAAGTAAGAGTTTCTATATAGAATCGGTATTTCAAATTTAGTTTCTCTACCAATTTGGTTTTCTGGTTTTTTTTTTCCTCTTGTATTAGAATAATAATACTGATGATTACATAACTAACCTAATGAAAAACATCAACGAAAGGTTTGTGATCGGTTGGTCTTTACTGCTATAAGATTGAGAAAGATGATATGTGATTCTGGAACTCCCTTGCTTAGAAGCAAAGTTAGCTTTCACTGCAGAGTATCCTGTTACCACCTTTCCAAGACCAGAAAAATCAAAAATGTTTAATTAGTTTTGATTTGATGAAAAACAGATGATGAGTTTAATTAATTTACTTGGCTCACAAGTATTAGAGAGAAATAAGGTTCCTTGGGCAATATATGTTTTGGGGATCCTCCTCCCTAGAGAATTAGGTCCATATATTACTAGTAACAAGCTCAACACGTACGTTGTTCGTGTAACTGAGACATGATCATATACTGTTACTGGTCAAACAGTGATCTCTAACGCCATTGGATAAATTCTCCATGTCTTGTTCAATCTTATGATAGTCTTAATTAAAAGAAGAAAGATAACGAAAAGGATAGTAAGTATTCAGGACACTGCGTGTAGAGATATTAGCGGGAACAAAAAACACTGTCATCTCCAGTCGAAAGCCGGCGACTCAACGGAAAAAGAGAATTTGGTAAACCAGCCGGTACGATTTGCACAAACCAAAGTTGAACTAGCCGGTAAGAAAGTTGTTTTTTTATAGGATTCGAAAGAAAGACAGAATTAGAGTAACAAGATCCTTAAACATGGGAAAATCAGAGATTTGATATCGATTCATTCATTCCTCCATAGCTTCACCGACTTCTGTAATTTCGACTCGCTCCAGCAATGGGGTGATTTTGGTAAGAAGAACCTCTGTTACACAATAAACCAACAAGATGATAAGTGAGAAATTAAAAGCCTGAGGGTAACGATATGCAAGTTTAATTTGTTTGTTGTGTTGTGCATGTGTTCAAGAGTAACATAATTACCGGTTTTCTTGGTGAAGGAATAGCCTTTGCTGCTGACATAGGTTCTTGGGTTTGGTTCCATGTAATTCCTCAGGTATTCCTTGTTCCCCTGTTTGCCAACACAGTGTCAAACAATAAGCTCGAAAAGAGTTTAAATTTGGAAGTGAAAAACTTGGTCAGCTTGCTGCTGAACATGATTGCATTGCATGCATTAAACCAAATGGAGAGGACATTTTGCATTAATATAATGGCAATGCTGACCAAAGGGAGTTTTGTACATTAATCAAAGGTACTGCATGGTTAAAGAAGCAGGGTGAAGAGACAAACCTTTGTGATCACGCAGATGTCTACGTTGCTACCACTACCCAGGTCATTGAATATACCAGAGCATATGGCTTCAGCGACCAACTTAATTCCTTCATCCCTCTAGAGTATTTTATTTTGTAACAAGAAATTAATCAGACAGAAGAAGATAATGCATCTGGAAACTGAAAGATGAATATTTTCGCTTTACTTACAGTTAGGCCTTCTTTGTACTTCGCCTCAAACACAGACATAGCAGCAAGAGAACCAGAACCCATTGTAGCAAATGGAAGAGTTTCAGTTAAACCGTTTGGGTCAATCTGTGTGTAAGACAAATAGTCAAATGTCATATATATATATATATCATATATATATATATGGATAACAACAAACAAACAAACAAAAAAGAAAAGAAAACTCTTCTCAGTAGATAGCATCTAAAACTTACAGTATGCAGATGTGGGCCAGTGATATCAACTCCACCAAGCACAAGCGCAGCAGAGACATGACCTTGATAGCTGAAATAAAACTTAGGCAGCTAAGCAATCTATGTTTCTCTAAGACGAGTTTCTGTAATAGATAGAACAAAAAAAGTTTACCTGAAAAGATGTTTTTTGAGGAGAGTTAAAGCAGTAATAACCCGAGAGTCACGACCAGTCTCGTAACGATGCAATCGCAGCTGTGAGCTGACCATATCTGGAAAATGAGAATGAAGTTAAAACATACCGATGCATTATGTCAATTAGATTCTGATTTCTTTAACAGGTAGAGAAAACAAAATCTATCAACAAAAGGGTTAGAAAGGAGATACCAGTAACTGCTTCAGTGTCAGCCGCGGTTCCTGCACCACAACAATATATGTTTGGTGCCATATAGTGAATCTTTTCACAGTTTTTATCAGCAACAATGGGCCCCTCGGTCGCTCGGGTATCTGCCCCTAGTATCACACCATCCTATACAAAAACCGAATAACAAAATCAACAACATTGTACAGATTCCACAATCCTTTTACTCAATATATAGCCAAGAAGAAACTATGGGAGGATGAAAACCATACCTTGAAAATCAAACCGACAATGGTTGTTCCGGTCTTCAAGAAAGACGGAGCTTTAAGACCCTCTTGTGTAAGCATCTCATTTCTCTTACACAAGTCGAAGCTAAACCCACCCTTTGCCGAAACATCTACTGTTGATTGCGACATTTTTTAAATTGAACACCCTACAAGAACAAAAGTGAGAACCCGCAAGAGAGAAAAAAAACAAAACATATGTTGTTTTCATGACGAAATTCATAACAAAACAAATCTACCTCAAGCAAAACAACAACCTTAATTCTACATCTTTACATCCAAAGCTAACGTCTTCCCCTGTTTGTCCCCAAAAAAAAAAAAAAAAAAAAAAAAGCTAACGTCTTTCCCAAGCTTCCATTACACAACGGAAAGTTCACAACCAGATCTTCTCACTTAGAAGACAGTAACGAAATTCTAAAGCAAACCCAAGAAAAAATTATACTTCAGAACTCAATTGATTCACCTCTTTGTCCCAAGTTTGGTTAGAAGAAACACGATGCACATAGTCACATAAAGACAACGAGAGAGAGAAAGAGAGAAAGAGAGCGCAAGAGAGAGGAATTACAACAAACCTGAAACAAATCCGGCGAGAGATCCGGCAAAGTAGTGAAAAAAAAAACCTAAGTCTCTTAATTCTTTCTTTCGTCGGAGAATGAGAGAGGAGGAGAAGAGAATCAATGTTGTCTGACGAAAAAAAAAGAACAAAAATCAATGTTGTTTCTTAATATTTATTTGTAGGAAGATCTTTGGGCCAAAAGAAAATGAGGTATTTGGGCCCTTGAGGGGTAAATAAAAGTTATTATTAGTGACGTTAAACAAAAAAAAAAAAAAGTTATTATTAGCATATTTTTTGTAACTTTCTTCTTACAAACCTCTCCGAAATCAGTCATTACCCAAAGCCATAAAGTTGGTACAAGCACACACATAATCTCACTTTTCATTGTCTCATTCACTCATTGTCACCCACATACTATACACGCTATAGTTTTAGTCTCCATTTTTTTTTTTTTTTTTTTTGTGAACCGCTTTAGTCTCCATATAAAGATTTTGTTAGTATAAGTTTATCTCTCAGCATGCAGTATCTATTTCACTTTCGTATGACTTCAGTTCTCCACCGGTTTGTGTTAATTTAATGAAATCTTATGTATTAAAGGGGAAACATTTTTTGATAGAATACATAAAAATGATTAAATATCTTAACATATAAAATTCTTAACAAATACTACTACTTTCCATAAAATCATCATACGAATTATCGATAAATATAATATATCATTAACTTATTGATTTTTTCCTAAAATCTATATATCATTAACTACAAAATAATGGTAACAAAATCGTGACCTTACCCGCATGAACCTTAATACTCCATGAAAACGGAAAAATTAATATATTGCCTTAAAAATCGTGATATTAGAAAATATTCATCCATAGTTTTAGGAAAATCGTAATTAGTCCAAACTTAACCTACAAGACATTCTAAAATTATTCCTTAGCAACCCTAAGAAAACCGTAATGACTAAATGACTATAAATAAATTAACACTACAAGAAAACAAGCCTTTTGCGACTCCTTTTTGTGACTCTTTTTTTAGTCGCAAATATTTGCGACGCTTTTGTTACACTTAAGTGACTCATTAACGACTACGACAAAAACAGACGCATATTCGTTGCTAATATACGACGCCATAGTATAGTCTGAGAACGTCATAAATACGCGACCCTTTTACGATACTTTTGCAACCCAAACGACATCCAATTTTTTTTTGTCTGAAATATCTTAATCGTCACAAAAGAGTCGTACATTTACAACTAATTTGCCTCTCTTTAGAGACATGTTCTGTTTTTAAAATTGTAATTTGATAAAATAGAATGTGTAATATGTTAAGTAACCATATTTTGCAATGCTTATAACTAATACATTGAAATATTAGTTGTTAATGTTTTAATTTTTCATGTTTATAACTAAATCTTTGTAACAACCTATCATGTATAAAATGTTACATATACTTTTAAAAGAGAATGATCTTAATCTATGTAAGTTTGAAAATAAACTTACCAAATCATTGTTTTATCACATAAATTGAAAGATACACTTCACAAATGGACTCTGGAGTGATATATAATACTTATACTAATGTATTTTGATCTTAATGTTTAGAAATCATAAATATTGGTTTGTGACTCATACACGACCGTTTAGAAATCATAAATATTAATTGGGAAGCATTTTGTGAACCACAACATTGTGAGGGTAGTTTAAGACTAACTAAATGAATTTTTACATGGGTAATTTAGTAAATAAACAACTACTACAACTAAATAAATATATTTGATTCGGATCCTTCATTATTTTTTTGCAAAAACAAATAACGAGATTAAATGATCCAATATATT